GACTTATATTGTTGCAAAAAAACTTAATTTGGGAAAAACGAAGAAAATAACTTTTAAACAATTTGACCTATAGCTTTGAAATTTTGATCCTATTTTAAGCACTACAATACCTAACATTCCATGTAATATGAAGGTTTTAACCTAATTTTTAAAAAAGTTATTAATATTTATAAAAAGCCAAAATTCTGACTTACTTTGCAACTTTCTAAGCAACACATGAGAATAAAAACATTTAAAAATCATTAAAAAAAAGGTTTTTACATGACTTATAAGTTTATTACCCTTATATTTGTTTCAAATGCTTTACTTGGTGCTTATATACGAAAAAATTAAAATCTACCGTTTTTTAACCCTTATTTGTTTGACCTTAATAACTAATTATTTAAAAAATATACTGCAGGAAACATATAGATTTTTGTTGCATAGGTCCATACTAGTCAAAATAAAACTGTCGTTGGCCAGACCTTTCAGTGTGACAAACAGGGTACTTTTCTTGCTTATTGTCCTGCCCTCTTATATATGTCGCACCCTCAGTGCAAGACTGCAGTAACTCAAAATTTTATGAAAATGAAATAATCAAGGAATTCGATGGTAAACATGCATATATATCCCCTGTAAAACTTTAGTAACTTTCAAATGCTTAACTGGCTAAATATTACAACAACAACAGTTTAACTATTTTACGTTTTTTTTACATAAGTTCCGTGCAAAACTGTTGTAACTCTAATGTAACAGAGTTACAACAGTTTTGCACGGAACATTGCAATGGTTTCGATAACAAGCAATGAAAGGCACGAAAAAAATAAGATTTGTTATTTTAATATTTATATCTGTGGTGTTTAATTTTAATATACAGCGCGTATGGCGATTTATTGCCATTCGGGTATGATACCAGAAGCCCACCATAGTTTTTATAAAAATATTTTGGCCCAAGATGATATACGAGAAGAGGATAACAACTAACAGAAAATGTGTCTACACTTTTTACAATTTTCTCCGTGCAAAAGTGTTGTAACTTTGAAATTCCTAATTTTTAGCATTAATATTATTTTATTTAAATTTCTATTTTTGGTTAATGTAATATAGGCTAAAAAGCTTGCAAAATCATAAATAAATGATAATTTGTTTTAAAACTTGTGTCCTATTTGACCGATATTAGCACGAAAATAAACAAAATCGTCTTTATCTCGAAACTTACTTATTCTGACTTACTGCAGTCTTGCACTGAGTGTGCGAATTGTGTCTTATGATTTAGATCGTTCCTATTAATGAGTGTTTTTACAGCTATTCTATGAAGAACCTTTATTTCTGTTGTTTCTGTTTCTCTAATAGAAGTCTTTACGTTTTGATGTTTTTGTTCTAATTTCTGCATTATTTAATCTTATAATCATTGTGTAGTATTTTGATTTGGTTTTTCTGCAAAATATTTATATTTCGCCATATTGTGTAAGTTATCCAGGCATTTTTGCTTCTGTTCTATTGTTTTTTTTTCTTTGTGTTTTTTTGTTTTCCTAAAATTACCAAAATATGACATTTCTGCATATAAATATTAAAATGTTACTTCTCGCTTGGTAATTGTTACTCTATTTACGTCAAACTCACATGTTAGAGGTGTCTTTAATTAAGTCAGGCATTTTATTTTGAGGTGGAAATCATCATCATGTTCTGTTAAATTGAGAAGTAAATATTATGGGATCTGTGTATCATTGATTATACATATGTGCTTAAACCTAGACATTCAAAGCTGAAAGGATAGGATGTATCGCTATTTTGTGTTAGAACACGAAGTTGAACCCCATTTATAATCACATGAATAGTTGCCAAACTAATAGCCCAGGCCTAAAGTAAGTGTTGTAATGGGTCAAAATATACCATATGTCAAAATATACATACAAGCCTATAAAATTACAAATCGAATGAGCCCTAGTAGGCCTACATCTCTTAATTTGTTGCTAAAATACGTTAATTAGTTTATCCCACGAACTTCAATTTTGAAGGCTCATAGGATTGCCAAAAAAATGATAGATTGCTAATTCTTGTTTCATTCTCTTCCTAAAGTCGTAAGTTTTCATATTCCATTAGAAAATAATGAAAAAAATGTTTAATCCGTTAAAAACAATTATTATGAAGTTGTAAAATTGCAGTTATAAACATTTTTAGCTGCAGCGCCCCCTATGTACCCTACAAATTTCCAATTTGCATATTATTGTAGCAAACCCCCAAAACATTTTTTTATATTCATTTTTTTTTTCAATTCTTTTACTTTTACAATACTATTAAACGTAATCTACTACCATATTATTATTGAGAATATCCCCATAAAACATCCCCATTTCTAAAAAAATTAATATACTAAAATATAGACTAGTATTATTTCAGTATTTTCAGTATCTTTTTATTAATACTTACTCTGCCTTGCTGTGTAATCTTTTGTCTGTGAAAAATTATGTTAAAGTAAAGTTTAAATGATTAAAATTTCTATTTAAAAAAATCTATTTTCCAAAAAACTTAAAAAAATTGATTTTAAAAACTTTTGGTCAAACTAGATTTTTAGTACAATTTCACGAGAAAATAAATAATTGGTTTATTTAATAAATTAAAATTAACATTATATATACGTATATCTTAAATTGCAAATTACTTTGATAGAAGGAATAATTTAGTAAAGCAAAGATATAAACAGTAAAATAATTATTGTAATTTATTTATATGGTTTTAAAATAAGATTCAATATTTATAAAATCAGAAATATGCTTAGTTTTTATTTATTTTTCTTTTTTTTAGGAGGTTGTACAATTTCCTCAGAATCATATAACAATTCATCCAAAACATCCATCTCCCTTTCACATTCTTTTTCTGCGTTATCTAGTTCACATTCAACAGTATGACAATTTTCGCAACTCTCTACATTACAATTTTCGCACATTGTCGTACATTTTCGGTCGTACTTACGGTATCCATAATGTTTTCCACATGCGGTTTCGGTGCTACATTGAAAAAAAGGTAAACTTTATTCGTCATTTTTAACAATAAATAATGATTTGAATTTAAGGAGAATACAAATACTTGAAAATATAGGTTTTTAAAGTAGTAATTGACGCCAGATTATAAAAATCTACGGCTTTAGGAAGAGAATGAAATAAAAGCTAGCCCTCTACCATTTTTTTGGCAATCCTTTGAGAATTTAAAGTTGAAGATCGTGGGATAAACGGATTAACGTATCTTAGCAACAAATTAAGTGATCTAGGCCTACTATGGCTTATTCGATTCGTAATTTTATAGGCTTGAATTTCATACATTTGAAATAAATAAAAAACAATTTTGCAATAAATGTTACGTGTTTTTATTTTGACCTTTATTCGTCATTTTTGCAATAACAAATAAATTAAATTGAACGTACACGGGCTCAAATTGAAGGTCTTTTAGAGTACTTTCATAATCTATACATAAATTACCCATTACAACACTTTAGGCAAAATATAAAAAAAAAACTTGAAAAATACGTATTTTGCACCAATAAACACTCATAAATAAATAAGAACCAACAATTTTTTTGTTGATTGCTCCTGAGGTTGTCCTTTATAACCTAGGCCACATTACATAAATTCCTGGATTAGAGAGTACATTTCCCCCACAGCCTGGGCTATAACAGTTTTCCTCTAAACAAATTTATCATTCTGTGTATCGCTGATCGTCCAATGAAATTATAACAGTTTTGTTAATCTTAAGTGTTTTGTCGGAAATTAATTTCTTCTGACGTTTTGTCACTTGCGATAGACCAATCTATCTTAAAGCCTGTCCCTTACGTTAGTAATATAAGTAGATAAGAAAGTATATAGAAGTTAGGAAAAGGAAAAAAGAATCTGAAGCTTCAAAACGTTAAGAAACAGTGCGAATTCTGAGAGAAAGCTATATAGAACTGGTAGCTGCCTATTAACCTTCTGAAGCTCAGTTCTGAAATAAACTAAGAATACATTTAATAGATACATTTTTTATTGTGGATAATGAACTGAAAATACATGGATAATACTATTAAAAAAACAATCCAACATGCTATAAACAGTCAATGACAAGCGTCAGTTCTATATAACTCTGAGAGAATCCATAAAAATAAAAAAGTGATAGGTTAAAAATTGATCAGTCAAAAAATATTTAAATTAAATAAACCAATGGAAAGATTTGTTAAGTTTTTTTAAGGATTTATCCACTTACATTAAAATGTGTATTAAAATAAAGCAATAGGTAAGTATCACCAATTCAAATATCAACATAAAAAGAAGTTATAAATACTGTAGGTGCACATCAAAAATGAGCGTATCACACTAATTACAACACAGAAATGTATAATTGCTAAATCTGCTAAACATGTAACAATTCTAAAAAATACAGCATATGTAATTAAATTTTAGGTACAGTTTCATTAATTTAATTGCTTATTTGAGCATGTTTATATTTAAATATATCCAACAGTGTTCGTAATCCATTGTCTGAAATCAAGAGACAAACATCAATTTTAAAATTTAAATATCAGCCAATGTGATAGGCCACCACTATTATAAGTACATGCAATATACCCATTGTTAAAGTCAGAAGGACACTTTTATTAATTAATTAATTATTATTATTTTCAAAACATAAACCAAATACTTGCCCTACATTATCTAAATATAAACGGGTCACTGAATTTTCTTTCTTAGAAAAAAAAAAATGGAAATTATCTAACAATGTCAATAAACGTTCATAAATTTATAAATAAGAAGTATAAATCTATAATGAAACTAAAAATGTAGGAAGAAATACCCAATTATATAAAAAATTAGTGATATGTTTCATCTGGGTAAGTATTTCGTACATTTTAGGTTAAAATAATAACATGAAAGTGGATACATCCCAATATATATTTTTTAAAAAGATCCTAATACAATTCATCCCTGAATTTCATACTCCTCATACTCTTCGGACTCGAAGCTTTGAGAAGATTCAAAATGGGAACTGAATACCTTTTTGTTTTCTGATACTTCTACAGATTCTGATTGTTGTACGTTTTTGGTTGAGTGGATTTGTTGCGATCGGTTGTCTTCCACTATCGATTTGTTGATGGTGCTGTCAAAAGTGGCTTTCTTTTCTTCAATTTGTGTGTGGCCAAGATCCTTGTGGGTCTAAAAATAAATAATTTGATTAAATATGCTAATTATATTACACGTTTTTTAATCTTAAAATATTTTTATATGTCTTAAGACTCATAATATTCAACAGAGGAACAATTGAGGAAATTGTAAATAATATATTAAAGTAAGCAAGAGACTTTATAAGAAAACTGAATTTAGTCTTATGTACCAAGAGTATTACAGTAACAACAAACAAAATCCATAGTCGAAAGCGACCTGGCTGAGCAGACATAATATGCGCATTTAGGTTTTAGTGCGAAAAATCCACTAGGGGAGAGTGGAGTACCGGGACAAAGCGTGGTTTTTCTGTTCTGTTGAAATGCCTATACATGAGTTGATTATTATTCGATTTACGTTTATGGTGCTTTCATATTATTTGCACTCTTTTTCTAATTGCATTTATTAAGCAACAAAAGAAACTACGACAATGGACTGTATGTTTGTAGAAAATGCTGGCTAAGAAAACATTAATACCCCATAAAGCAGATGAATGTATTTTAAGGTAAGCTAGCATAACATAATATTACATTGTTAATGAAAATGGGGCAAAGTGAGGAAGGATGAAAGGGGCAAAAGATGAAAGGTTCATTTTACTTGATACCACACTTCGCCCAAAATTACCTTGTACTTAGACTACGTTGGTTACCTACCTACATTTTCTTGTATTTTTTTAGGCACCATGGTTAGAACGTACAAAAGAAAACCAAACAGTATTCCTGAAGTGAGGAATCGATGACGAAAGTAGTCTGCAACGTGATACGGAATCAAGTTGGGTACAAAAAAGCATCGCAATCCTTTGAAGTTCCACAAACCACGATTGACGGGTATATGACCAAATACAAGGCAAACCTACGTCATTCTACTTCTGCAGAAAAAGTTTTGTGTTACAGAAATGTTTTCACACCCGAACAGGAAAGTGAATTGAATGCTTATATTTTTATGGAGGGAGGATTTTTACAGACGTTAATTTTGCTTCAGATAAAACAACTACAACAAATTTGTCAGTATCTGCACAGTCCTGTAGCCATAAAACCGGAAGTGACTCCTCATCCTCAAACCAATGCAGCAAATTCGTCAGGAATAGAGTCTGGTAATGCTACCAAAAATTTTCGGAAATAAAGGCGCAAGAAGTAGAAACACAATAAGTAAAACACGCCTGAAAAAAAATTGCTAAAAGTAGCGATGAAAGGCCTGGTTGTTCATAAATGGCTTATAGCGAAACACAGTAATCTTCGTTTGTAACATCTTCGATCGATGTCATGCCCACACCAACAGAAACTCGAGTAACAAGACGCTTCACGGAAAAAGAGGAAAACTACTGTAATTACTTTACAAAAATGACCTTTTGGAGTAACAACCAAACAGAGGAAGGAAGATCAACAAAAAACAATAATCAACTCTAAAACAAATCAAACTAAGGGTAAAAACATACAAAAAAAACAAAGAAAGTAAAAAAAGAGGAAGAAAAAGAAGAATCTAAGAAGGGGCATGCTAAGTGTATATATTGTGGTACTTTCTTTGCAATCCAATGAAGGATCGATAATGTGGCGAACATTCTGTGGTTGGGCACACTGCTCCTGCGTTGGAGAAGAAGACGAGGATGATGAAGCAACACACCTTTGTACTAGGTGTAAAACTTAGGTTTTGTTAAATATAATGTAACAATTTATTTTCTTAACAACAAAAATACATTTTAAATTCAGATAGTTTAAAACCATTATGATAAACTGCACTAAAGTTTACTTAGTTATATTGTATTAAGTGCCCCCACTCTGCCCCACTGATTATCCGTTTGCCCCATTATAAGACGCAAACCGGGGAAAAATAGTTTTACTTGTATAAATATTTCGTATATAATATGTAGTTTATAAAGATAATAAGGCTCTAATTTCTTCAATGAATTTGGTATTATTACCTGCCAACTTTATTTGAGTTATTAAATATCCTAATACCTCTCTTCAAAAAAGGAGAGAAATCGGACCCGGAAAATTACAGGGGAATTAATTTACTAAACACAACACTAAAATTAACAACCAAAGTAATAACAAATAAACTGAATGAAATTATAACATTAGCAGAAGAACAACAAGGTTTTAGGTCGAGAAGATCATGCACCGACGCTATATTTATAATGAGGCAAGTGCAAGAGAAATCATTAGAATACAACAATCCGGCATTACTATGTTTCATGGACCTTAAGAAGGCATTTTGCAAGGTCAAATTAAAAGACGTTATCCTCTTACTGTACGTAAGAGATATACCCTAGGAATAATCAAAACGATCGAAATATCCACCAAAATATCACAATAAACGTAAAAGTAGAAGAACTAACCGATCTAATGGAAGCTGGCAACGGTAGAAGATAAGGAGATTCCCTCAGTCCTCTATTATACAACCTGATTATGGATGAAATAATAAAAGAAGTTAGAACTAAAAAAGGATACCAAATGGGAGAAAAACAACTTAAAATAATCTGCTGTCCAGACGACGCAATACTACAATCTCAAAGTGAAGATGATTTACAATGTATGCTACACCTTAATGTAACCGCCTAAAAATTTAACATGTTAGTTTCCCCAAAAAAGACACAATGCATGGTTACAACAGCAAATTTAGATGTAAATTGGAGCTGGAAGGTCGGATAACAGAACAAGTGATGGAGTTTAAATATCTAGGCATCACATTATCTAGCTACGGAAAGTTCGGATCTGAAGTGGAAGATCAATGAGTAGAACAAAGTGTGCCGCAGTCTGCCTGAATAAAACAATATGGAGAAATCAAAATATCGGAAAACCAATACTGATATACGCGGCAGAAACAAGACCTGACACATAGAGAACAAAAAGGATGTTAGAAATAGCAGAGATGAAAACACTTGAAAAACATTGATGGTAAGACACTATATGACAGAGCTACAAGTACAGATATACGCCGTAGATGCAAGGTGGAGAACATCAAGAACTGGGTAAAAAAGAGAAGAGTAGAATGGAATGATCATATAAGCCGAATGACAACAAATAGAGTAGTAAAGACGGCAAGAGACCATTCCTCAGTGGAAAGACGATCAGTAGGAAGACCACGAAAACGATGAAACGACAACTTAATGGAGGCACATTGAAAAACAGACAGAGTCATGTCTATATAAAAAGAAGAAGAAGAAGAAGTAGAAGAAACTCATAAAAACAATTACGAGAGACTTCACTATGCTTCATTCTGCCCTACGTCAGTGTCTGTGACCGTACGTAACCAATCGAAGGTTAATATTATATCATATTCTTAGGCCCTGTACATATGGGGCGTTAGACGTCGCGTTTGTCTAACCGCGTTCTAAAAACCACGAAACAAATGATATCGTTCACATGCAAGCGCGCGTTTAGAACCAACGCAATGTTGTCAAACCCTGGCGCTCGTAGAATATACTTTAAACGCCGCGTTTGCAACACGTTTCTAGTTAGTAGGTGATGTGTGCGCTTTTGCCCTATTGACACCGCTGTTCCGTATTGAAAAATGGTCGAAAACTGAAGAAAGTGAAACAGTCTATAATTTTCACTCATGATTAAATATTTACACAATAACTTTTCCCATATGCCACAACAGTTCCTCTTAAAAAAGAGGTTTAAAGAAACTTAATCATATAAAAAGTTAATATGAATAAATAGCTTCATGTTACAACAAGTTTTTCTTCGGGTGAATTCCATCCCTTACTGGAATTTCACATGGTTATAAGTATTCTTTTGATAAACTTAAGAGTTCCTCAAAAAATATTCAACTCATTCAGAAATAGTTAAAAAGTTTTGGAGGGTGTTGCCTTAATTTGGGGTCGAGAGTCACAGAAGAACCCATGGTCAATCTATAATTAATTAAAGAGTGTACCCACAATCTTCTTTACCGTCTTTATCTTGCTCTGAATCTACAGTGTAACAACCAAATACTCCTTTAAATCCATAACTGTACTAGCAGTCCACATTATGGTAAAGCGGCGCATAGCGCTGTCATTTACGTCACTTTTTTCTAACGTGAGCTCAACGCGGCGTCTTACGTCCTTATGTCTATAGGCCCTTAGTTATTTCAATAGTTATATGTCAAAATATCCCAACAAAGTGGAATAATTCAATAACTGTACTCTTACACAAGAAGGGAGATATAGCAGACGTGGAAAGATACAGACCAATCAGTCTCCTTAACCATCTTTATAAATTATACACCCGAATAATAACGAACAGATTAGAGACAAAGCTGGATTTTACCAACCTCGGGAACAAGCTGGTTTTCGCCCTAATTACGGCACAAACGATCATCTACAATGCCTAAAAACCCTGATAGAAAAAACTAACGAATATAACCGTCCCTTGGCATTGATATTTGTAGACTTGAAAAAGGCGTTTGATATAATGGAACTACCGTCCATCTTAAGAGCACTACAAGATTGCAGGGTCGACCACAGATATTGTAATATAGTCAAAAATATATATGAAAATGCCACAACAACCATAAGTCTACATTCTGCAACTAATAAAATAAAAAAAAGGGGGAGTCAGGCAAGGTGATACCATGTCACCAAAGCTGTTCATTACCGTTCTTGAGTATGCATTTAAAAAACTAACATGGCAAGAGAAAGGAATATCCATCGATGGAGAAAGATTAAACCATCTACGTTTTGCGGACGATATCGTGCTTTTGTCAGATAATCTAGGAGAGATCAAAGACATGCTCCAAGAACTGAATGACATACTACAAGAAACTGGGCCGGAGATAAATTTCGAGAAAACCAAAATGATGACCAATATGGTTCCCAGCGAAGGGATACAGATTAATAACAACAAGGTCGAATTAATCGATAAATACACATACTTGGGTCATAAAATTAGAATAACCAGAGACAACCAAACCTGCGAGCTAAATAGACGAATCACGTTGGGATGGGCGGCATATGAAAGGATGAGAGACATTTTTAAAACAAATATCCCAATTCACCTGAAAAGGAAGGCATTTAACCAATGCATCTTACCAGTCTTGACCTATGGAGCAGATACCCTAACTTTAACGAAAGCTACTGCCGAAAAACTGAGGGTAACATAAAGGCGAATGGAGAGATCAATGCTGGGCCTGACCTTGAAAGATCGCGTGAGAAATGAGGAGATACGCCGACGAACTGGCGTAGACGATATTATACTGCGAATCAATAAACAAAAGTGGAGGTGGGCTGGACATGTTCTAGAATGGAAGACGGAAGATGGATGAAGAGATTATTGGAGTGGAGACCAAGAGCCGACAAGCGAAGTCGAGGCAGACCACCCACCCGATGGACCGACGACCTAAGGAGAATAGAAACAAACTGGATTGCAGCAGCTAAAGATAGAGAGAACTGGAGACGTTTGGAGGAGGCCTATATCCAACAATGGATGTGAACATGGGGCTGAATGATGATGATGATGATGATAACAAATATAGTTTGAGTAATCCGCAAAGGATAAACCATAAAGGTAGCCTCGCGTGAGAATTCGTTGACCTATATATTTTACCCTATAGTTGTAGAGTTTATTTGGGCTAGAGATAAATTTTAAAAATTAAAGCTATTAAAAGTAACAAAATAATTTACCTCTGATAGTGTGGTTTCTTCAGTTTCTTCTGTCTCTTCCTCCCTGTTTCCTCCTCCAAGAGCGACAGTCTTGTTTTCGGGAATAGCTACTTGTGACTTGGACATGTTGAAATTTTAGATTTAGTATATCAGCTTCTCAGTTGTGCCTTTTCTATTTTAGGATATCTAAAAAAAAATAAAATATTTAGTTTATTATCATTGAACATACCTGCTTTAATTGTAATACAAAAAGTAACTTAAGTAAATCTGTCTTCTTGTGATCAAACGATTTCTTGTGCTCAATGAAGCAATACTAAAATATTTTCCTAGTTTGTTTGATGTAAATTGTTTTTCCACGTGTTTATTTTTAAACAGAATGACTATATTTTGAATTTTTTCTATTGTATTAAAAATACATTAATGAGTTTATTTTCGACGACCTCTCCTAATGAATCACAAACTTAATTTATAATTAAACATCAACTGGCATAAAAACAAAAATTTTTACTTTAATTATAAACATAAATAGATGTAGAACAACAAGAAAATAATTAAATATATTTAATGCTATATCTGTCATCATAAAGCATGTTGATTGCTCACAGTATAGCATTGTCATGAATTAATTAACAGATATTTTTAAAAACACTATAAAAAAAGCAAAAATTATTCACAGGTCCAAATTTTTTATGTGTTGGGTAATTCCTGGTATCGATAAGTGACAAGTTATAATAATACCATAATTGTTTTAGTTTCTTTATATAAATTCAATAGTTTTTATATAGTCCAGTGTACCAACTATGATTTTTAACTTCGAATTTCTCCATATGCATGGATTTTCTTGTCATTTTAATAATAAGTAGGATAAGCAAAATCTACCTTATGCCGAAGTATGATTTTGGTCTGGGGTTGGAATCCAATGCAACTGCGGGGCGGCAATCTTTATATTGAAAATAACCTCTAAAATCGTTTGAAAAATATATTTTAAGCAAAAAATGTTGTAGAGTTTTTTTTTCTAAAAAGCAATAGGTACTTTTAGTCTCATTCTTTATTGAAAAATTTAAATTTTTACAATTTAAAGGAAAACTTTAAAACTTCAACATAGAATAAAAGGAAAACGGTTAATTTTATGAGAAACGTTTGTAGCGATATTTTTAAAATAAGTTAAAAAATAATAAAATGAGACCTTATAGAACTCTCAAACATATACTACTGTCCAAAATTAACGCACCACCTCAAATGGACCAAAATTTTGAAACTGTATTTTTTCCGAACTCTGATTTTTTTCACATTGTAGGTATATTTCTAAAGAATTGATAGGTATATTAATGTTTTTTGAGAAACGTCATCGTTTTACCTATATACGGGATGTAAAAATAAAGTTATGTTTTTTCATCTAATTTTGTAACACCCTGTGGAATGTATCAGAAACAAACGTCTATTTTAAAATACTTAAACTACGTCTACGTATCAAAAACTACGTCTTATTAATATTTTGAGATAGTCTCATCCTTTCTCGATATTTTCTTAAGAAAATCATCTCGATATCTCTACGTAAAAGATTATATGAGTCATATTAAAAACCGTAAATATGTTTATTCATTCTCGTAATTTCTAGGTCAAATCTACCTGAGACGGAAGCTATGAAAACAACAAATCGAACCTTCAAGGCGATTCAGGTCAATGGGGTATACCTTAGACTAAAGAAACCAGGTAACTAGAATGCCGTCGGCGGCGACCCTCCGAATTTACCAGAATGCGATTGACTTTTCAAGACCTGCTGAATGAGTCATCGGTGCATCTCCAGACTTTTTAAGATAACGGCATTTTATATACAAATACATGTTATTGAGCGGTAGTTAGTTAGTAAGAAGATAAATTAGAAGCTCGCGAAACGCGGTTTAGATGTACGAAACGTAATAAAGTAATTGTACAGTTTTTATTTAATAAATCGATAATAAATTATCGTGAGTTTTAATAAATTAGAATACAGACAATGAATTAGATTAAAGACAATAAATTAGAAATATAATAAAAATACAACAATATCTCTATTATCAAACAAGAACAGAACGTTCAAAGCATTACGTGATTTTCTACTTTCCAAAATTAACTCACCATCTCAACTGTATCATCGTTTTTAAGCTACTTTTCTTTTGAATCCTTAATTGTATTTCAATTATTTTTTTTATTCCAGATCTATTTTTAAGTAATTACTGCATTAGTGTTTTCTAGATATTGTCAACGTTTCACCCATATACGGGTTGTAAAAATAAAGTTGTTTTTCATCTTATTTTGCAACACCTTGTGGAATTTATTAAAAGCAAACACTACATCTTATTAATATTTCGAGATAGATTTATTATCAAAAAAAAGTATATTCAAAGCATAACATGATTTTATTGAATTGTAATGAATTATCGTAAAATAAGCTTGCGGTTAAGAATTTCTCATACTACAATATTTTCTCATACACAAATACTAAAATACGCAATTTTTTACAAATACTACTACTACTAGTGTATTGTTGTTTACAAAGCAATAAAATTGATGAAATGTGTTCAGTTCATATGAACCTTTTCCAAATTTTAAGGCCGTAGAACTATGAATATTAAACTGGTCTGCAATGGACCGAGAACTTATTCTAGGTTTTTTTACAACTGTTGTTAAAACATTTATTTAATTTTGTTTTTCTAAATTTGTTCGTACGTCAGCAATATTGTTTATACAGGTACAATTAGAAATCACGGTCCCATTATTTTCAAAATTTTGTAAAATCCTTTAAATTGTTGAATGACTTTGAATTGGTCTATTGGAATATCTTACGCTAAATAAAGAACTGAAAATTTTGCGCACATTGCCTGAATAAAACATTGTTATTATTGCTAGTTTCTCCTCAACTGAATACATTTTTTAATCAACTACATTGTTTTTTAAACGATAAATCACAAAATTTAAATTTTGGCAATTCAAATACATATTGTCAAATATCAGAAACATAAATATGACCAAACGCAACATGTCATACACATTCTTGTACCTCGTGTGGCCTGAATTTAAGGGGTGGCCTGAAAAATGTATTATAATTTTACAAAATTTTGGAAAGTTTTTAATTCGTAGAACAATTTTAACATTTGCTTTTAATACATATTTCAGTCCTGCACAAATAATTTCTTATGACTTTTGATGTAAAATAATTAGGGAAGCAGGAATTCAACAATTCAGAATTTCCCATTAAATTTCCTATGGCCCGTTTGACGATTCACCACCTAGTATATTACTGTAACATCGAACTTATTAGGCGATTATTCGTATTTAGTGATTATATAAAGTTTTAATCGGATAAAGTATTATAATATTTACTCCGAGCAGAAAGTGCCATTATGGCTCTTACGCGGTAACTGTTACCTTCGAGCAATACTATATCTACTTTCTCTAAAACCTAAATAATTGTTTCCAAAGGAAGGTTATTGTTATTATTACAGTTATTATTTCTGAGGAAAAGTAAATTTGTAAATATTCACAAAAGTAAGAAAACAATACCTATTTGTAGAGTAATCACTCACAGTTATAAAAAAAATATTTACCATTAACAAAAATATTATCTATCATCAATCAATTTGTACCTAATAACTACCGAAGTATGCTAAACTAACAATGTATGTAAGTTGATAAATGATACCCTACATAACATATTAAACGGTCGTAAAGTCCAAAGTATAACGTAGAAACTAATACATACTCCAAGCAACGATTATTGACACCTTCAGCGCATCAGCTCGAGTTATTCACATATTTTACTAATTGACGCAACAGGTGTAATCATTTGACGCCATGCCAAGTGCTGCTGTAGTGGAGATTGGTTTACGAACTTTTATAAATGACGAGATGAAGGTGTCACATTGTTTTGTTAATGTTCAAAATTACGTTATTCTCAGTAACTGAGTCACGCATATATTCGCATTCATAGTTATTTTAATACCATGGAAATGTTACTACAGAATGTGATTTTACGTACTGCTTATTTAATTCTAAGCTCTAATAAGCTCATAGACACTTCGTTTAAGGTCCAGCAACCCCAGTGGAGTACTACGTTGTCATGTGATCAATTCCTTTTATATCTTAAACATCACACTTTTTAAACATCAAAGATGTAATACAAAGTTAATCAAACTGCATTTAAAAGATTAATTACTGACATATTTAATGGCGTTAAAACATGTACATCCAGATAGCACTGATGTTGGAATAATTATTCCGAAAAGTCTGTGATGTAGCCCGATAGGGTTTTTTATTATGATTATACCTTTTATAAAGGAAAGTTTTAAATAAAAAATCTTATAACAAATTTATTGAATAACAGTATTAGATAATAAAACTGGTTTTCATTATGTACTTTCAACTGTACATAAATATATAGCGCGAGATGATGATTCAATTTCATATGTAGTATCCCATCCCACAGACATCGATGCCAGATGTAAAGTCCAGCTTTTGAAACCACTCAGCGTTTTGCTAAAAAACTTTCTACTGTCGATGCTCTTGGCAAAAGGTTATAATGTGCAAGAAATTGACCGAAATTTATCGTAAATAACCATTTCCGATTAATTACAAATTGTAAAAGAAAAGATGTCAATAAGCAAATAATCAAAAAAATTTAATTTTAAGATTAATTTCCGAATGAACCGCATTTATTGAAGACCCAGAGTCCAAGCCAGTGACCAAATCGAAAAATATCTAAATATCACCTATAGAAGTCACCCAGATAACGTAAGTAAGTAGATCATTTAAATATTGTACAACAGGAAGGACATCATTATTCAGAAGAGCTGGAACATATAATCAACGAACAATTCATCGAGGAACATTTATCATTGTTCACTATATCAACTTTATCACTGTTATCACCCTAGTTGTCTTATACCTTTGCTGTTAATGTCGAATCAAAAGATTCTCAAAAATTGCAATCACCTGGACCCAGGATTAGCTTCCACCTTCACCACCAAGCAGAAATATCATTAGACAGAAACTTCAAGGTTTTACTTTTAAAAGACGACCCAATGTCCAACAAGAAACCGAAGAGGAATCAGAAACACCAATTACTCTTTTTAACATCAAAGCACTGGGATGACTTTTTATTTATACGTGGAGCTGTAATGCGTATAATGAGAAAATATTAACCTTAA